TTGGCCGGCCACACTGGTTCATTGGATTATAGACATTCAGAAAATTAGTTTGCCCTGTCATGTCAATTTTGAAAGAAGGACTTTCATTTATATTTATGGTAAACTGAGCTTTAAATTGAAGGATGGCTCAGATGTTTTAAAATTTATGAATTTGTAAATCCATGTATGTGGCCAATTAAGGTTTATCACCACCACAGATTAACTACTGTTGGATACAAATTTCAGAGGTTATTTGTATCTAGGCTGCTCATCTCAATGTATTACATCAAAATCGGTATGAAATATTAAATATTAAAGGGAAACATATTTCAAGACAAAAGTTAGTTACTCCAGATGAAATGGAAACACTCTGTAGGGATATCAGAAGCAACAAAACCTCTACCTTACGCAACACCTGGAGTTTTGCTGAAAGCTAATATAATGTGAAAATAATTTCCAAAACAAACAGAGCCAAGTGGATGGGAAGCAAAGGGTGAAATGCACAGCTCAGTGAAGCACCCAATCTTACAACCCTGCAAGTCAGGCCAAACTCCACAAGGAAAATGCAGGCCCTGAATTTTAAAAAGAATTCAATTAGCATCCCCAGCATTTCCATAATCAACAGCTGAATGCTAATTAAGAGCACAGCATCAAGCAGCAATGGAATCCCAGTGCAATAAGCAACAACACAACAGCAGCAAATGCTACCTTCAGCTTGCATGCATAAATAAACAGAATTAGTAACTGTCCAAGCATGGAAGGGTGACTTAATCTGTTTCGATTAGGTGCAGTTCAGCCTGGGGCCTTTGTGTTATATTTAAATGTGTTCATCATGTTTAATTAAAAACCTAATAATCTAGGGGTTTGTTTTTCTTTTTCTTTTTGCTTTTTAAGTTCTGATCTGTATTTTCCTCCTCTTTCTCTTTTTAAGTTCTACGTATTTGGATGGCTTCCTGAAAAAGAACAGTATTTTCGGCATAATGCAGGTGAAACTGGCTCACCATCAGTGTACTATCCAACACAGCAGCCAGCCACTTCCTTTGGCTCCATCCTTGCCCATACCGTGGTATTCAATACGCTTCATGAATTGAAGCAAAAATGCTTCTCTGATCTGACCTGGTTTATTTAGCCTGAAAGACTTTGCTATGAGCTAGTTACCAAGGTGTTTCTCACAGTCTCTCCACTAAAGCAGAGTTCATTTATCACTGTCTGGCCTAGAATTTGATAGAAACTGGCACAAATCTGGCTTTCAGTTCAACAAAATGTAAGCTATCTCAGCTCCAAAGCAACTTCAATAAGAAATACCATATCTACACACACAGTGTCAAAAAAATTACTGAGAGAAAGTGTGAAATGAAAGGCCTCCTATTGTGTGACTCTGAGGCCTAAGAGCTCAAGAATTCAGGATCATCTGAAAGACCTAGGAAGAAGAGGATGAGCGACATTATCAGTCATAATTTGGGAACTTTTTCTAAAGCAAAACTCTCAAGGTTAGCACTGGATGCATGTAGAAGTTTTCCTCTTGGATGCTGATGCATAACTATTAACCATTATAAGTTTTAAAATGCTGGAATTAGGATGATGTCAGTTATAGTGAAGAATCTTTAAAAAAAATAATCTTGAATAAAGAGTTGTTAATATTCTTCCAGTCCCTCATAGGTAGACACATTATTCTCACCATTAAAAAGTCCTCACTCTTAATAAGTTCACAAACGAAGAGGGAGATCAACACAGACATAAAGACTGTGAGGAACCAAGGGCTAGTGATGGCGGCACAAGGCTGCACGAGGAGGCAAAGGATGAGCCGCCAGTAAAGGATGCAAACAGGAGACGCAGCTCAGGACAGGAAGCTCTCTGCCAGAAACTGCGCTAAGCCTTGAGGCTGGTTAGGGCCTGGGTTGGCAAGAGAGGTTAGTCTGCTCACAGAGCAGAGGATCTACAGAGCCGGGAGGTACCGGCTGCCTGCTCACAGCACAGCAAGGGATGCACACCACCAGGTGCTCGTTCTGCAACCATCTCACATGAAGGGCTCAATTTACATTAAAGGAAAGCAAGTTCATCAAAACTGTAGTCAGATCAGAAGTTCGGTAGTTACATCAAACTGATACACTGGGGACAATGAAGTTTAAAAATAATTAGAATGTTCAAGGATATAGAAAACTGAGAGGGAAAAAAAGAGACAGGTCCATGTATTCATTTGAGTTGAGAAATATTTATTTTGCTTATTCTCGTGATTCTTGGGGTGAGAAAATGTGGGAAACTGAACAGAAGGGGGCCACATGCACAGAGCAGGTGTTTACCCACAGCTCAAACCAGGCTAAGGTGAAGAGTCTTTTTGGTTTATGTGCCCTGTTACCACATAAAATGATTCAAAGATTTGATCTGGACATATTTATCTGAAGCTTCCTTCAGCCTATCAATTATTCAATCACTCTCTCATTCACTTTAGGGGTTTGAGAAAGTGAGGCTTAACTTCGTATGAATATGGGAACCCTTTGATCTCTGGGCTCTGCAAGGACTGGATGGCTGCCAAAATATTTCTCACAGTTTCCACTAAAACAAGAAGCAAACATGACAAAAATGAGCCCAAACTGACAAGGATTTACCCAGTTACAAATCATCCGGGACTCAGAACGGGCAGCACTTTGCAGTCACCTCATTTTTCAGAGTCAAGCTGGGCTCCTCCCGATGTGTAAGCCCCTCGCCACTTCCACCCTCCTGTTCCCTGAAAGTCCCCAAAAAGCAGCGGCAGGGACACCGTCCACACCGCACCCGAGGCAAGCAAGCGCCATAGGGAAAGGAGGCCGGTTTTCTTTCAAGCAGAAAGAGCTTTCTTTACGCCGGAATCTGAAAACTCCAGAGGGAATGAAAGGTCACGGGAGAGATGAACAGAGAAGGGAGAGAGCCCTGCTGTTGAGGAGCCAGCCGCCATCCCGGGAGGCAGGACTGAAAAGGGAGGGACGATGGGGGAGGCACAGGAAGACGGAAGACAAGGAGAGACCAAAAGGAAACAGAGCCGCACTGAAGGAGAGAGAGACTGAGAAGCAGCAGCCAGGCTCGTCTGCAGGGACAAGGACCGCAGCGGGCCACACTGGCCACGTCCGTCCCTCCCTTTTCATCCTCTTATGTCATTTGTCCACAAAAGGTTTTTGCAGAATTTTGTATTTGTATCTATCAAAACTCTTACCTCCTTCCTACATAAACAAGTCTACAGTAGAAAACAACATCAACACGATTTTCAAAACAACCGAGTGTGACATTTTCACTTTGGCCACTATCTGAAACAACAAGTGTTTGAGATGTTTCTCTCTTCATTAATCATGTAAGGTTTTAACATTTTAAATCTCAAAACAGCAACATCAGCGTCATCCTAAGTCTGATAAACTCAGGAGTCTTAGGGGAGCAGGGAAAGAGCACTCTACCACCCAGCCTTCCAGGACCATTCCAGTGCCTCCCCTCTGCCTCCTGGTCTCCCCATCGCTCTCAGCTCCCTGCGCTCATCCACAGCCAGTCCATCCCGGCTCTGCTCAGTGCACGTCCCGGAGCTCACTGCTTCCCACACCACTGCGGTCCTGCTACTCAACCACCAGTCTCGGGCCTGGACTCTCACAATAGCCTCCAAAGCCCACACCTGAAACAGTGGCCAGAGAGAGCCCCCCGGCAGACTGTCCTCTGCTCAGAAGCTGCTCCCGCAGAGCAAACAGCAAGGCCTTGACCTCGGTTCTCAGACCACCAGGCTCTGCCCCTGCAGGACCCTCCCCCACCACCCGCCTCTCCTACTGCCCTCCTCTCGGACACACTCCTGCCTAGCTCTTAAACTTGCTTTAGGCCTCTGACGTCCAAAAGGCTTGCCACCTCATGTCACCAAGGTCTCTGCGCCAGCAGTACTTACCAGGCCCTTCTCGAGCCTCCTTACAAAAGGCAGCACCCGCCCAGTCCGTCCCCACCCTCGTCGCCCTACTCTGCTCTCCGCAGCGCGGGCACTGCCACTGGACACACACTGATGTGCACAGGTCTCCCCTCCTAAATCGTGAGCCTCCTGAGGTGGGCCTGGGTGTTCCCCTAGAGGCCTCCAAGCACCCCACCTGGCACTTAATAACACTCAATAGACACTGCAGGAAAAAAGAGCAGGATCCGGACGGCCGTATAATTTCTGAACACTCTTTCTTGGCATATTTTTAAATACAGGTGAGGAACTTACAATCAATCAATACGTGTGCCAGTGCCGGCCTGCTTCTCAATTCCATTCACCTTAAAGGGCAAACGTCAAGCCTAACACTCATCCTGAAACTGTGTTTGCAAAGTCTTATGAAAAAAAACAAAAATTGATTTTTGTTAATGGAGGTACTGGGGGTGGAACCCAGGATCTCGTGCATGCTAAGCACACGCTTACCACTGAGCTATACCCTCTCTCATGAAATCTCTGTCTTTTACCATAATTCCTTTTGAAAGTCATGAGACAGGGGATGGAGTTTCATGAGAACACTTTCTGCTGGGATAAAAATCCACAGGTTTGAAAATCTGTATTTGTGGGTACATGTCTATCTCCCCACCTCCTCTGATGGGCCATCCTAGCAGAATGAATATGTAAAAGCCACTGTATTTATTTAATCAAATCTGTGCTTCCTGATCTCGACAGATGTCCCTCAGAGGGTTAGGGATCCTGTCAGCCTTCAAAACAAAAACAAGTTACCAGCCCCACTTGACTGTGTTTTAATATAGGCAGGTATCAAAATCCAGCCTGCACACAAAACAAACCAACCAACCAAAACTAACTTTTTAAAAGAGCAGCTGTTCATTCCTTCTGCCCTTCCATGAACCTGGGAAGATCTCTCCCACGACCTACAGAACCAACGCTCACTAAAACCAAGCCTTCTCGTTCAGCAGTGAGGCTCAACGGCCCCTTCCCATGACTGGCGATGCCGTGGATGGACAGTCTGCAACCATGACTGGACTTGTGCAACAGTGACCAGCAAGTCCCCGATGCCCCAGGCCCCGAGGCAGCCCCTCGCCGAGCTCACCACTTCGTCCTCCGTCCAGCTCTTCTCGATCAGCTTGGGCACAGGCTTCTTCACCAGGCGCTGCAGGGCTTTGCCAGCATCGTAACCGCTTTCATGGAGCTAAAACAACAACAACCATTTTAGTCTGTTAATTGTGCCAAAGGACACAATTGGAAGCAAATCAATATAAGGGGAACCCAGCATTTACTCTAACAGAAGAGTCATGAAATGGGCATACAAGAGTCAGGGTCGTTTCAGTCAGCATGATGATTTGTTCTTAACCAGTCTCCAGTTCCAGCTGCTCTGGGAGAGGGAAACAGGTAAGGCAGAGAACATTCTGGCAGTAACAGGAATAAGATAAGAGTAGCAATAACAAATACTTATTGAATACCGGGCCTGGCCCACTGCTAAGTACATTCCACGCACTCATTATTGTTCTTAACCCTGCAAGGAAGGTATTTTTTCATTTAATCTTCCAGGGTAAGAGTTTATGGATGAGGAGACTGAGGCACTGAAAGGCCAAGCAAAAGTGCCCACAATCATGAGCCAGCAGGCGGTGGGGCCAAGGCTCAAACCCAGCCCATGTGATCCTGACTATTGTCCCATTTTCCCCAAAGCGGCCTAAAGACAAACTAGAGTATGTTCTTTAGCATCAACTATAGTCATCCCAGCAAAAGAAATCTCAAGTACCTTAACACGGAAGCCTTAACTCTCACCCCGTAACAGTACACTAACTTCTCAGCACACGAACAAAGACACTGGCTCACCTGCACGGCACTTCAGGACCGCACTGCTCTCCAGACAAAGCTACTGAATGTCCTTTCACTCCACATCCTTCTCAGCTCTGGGCACTGCCTGGCACCACCGACCCCTCTCTATAGTACAAAGAATCTCCTACCTTGGCTTCTGGGACCCCATCCACACCCTGGTCCTGAGTCTCCCCTTGCAGACCACGGAGAGAAGCAGCAGGTAGAAAGAGCCTCCTGCTCGATCGGCCATCCCACCCCATGGCTGTCCCTCCACATTTCTCACTGCAAATCTGCCTTTGCTTTACACATCTATTCCTCTGACACAAGACTCTGTTTTGGCTAAGACTCTTATCTCCAGTACCTAACACAGTTTGTAGCATAAGGTGATACAGAGAAATACTTGTCAAATTAATAAACAAACGCCTTCAACTACTGTCCCTATATAGACTCAACCCAAATCTAAATCTCAGTGTCTTCAAATTCTATCAGCCTAATGCTGACTGAGTGCCTATTACGTTCCAGGCCACGTACCAGACCCCCAGGATACAGCAATAAACAAAATACCCTCATGCAGTAAACATTCTCACCCTTTCACCAGTGCTTCAAACCCTTACTTGAAAAATTCACCAGAATTTGCTGAATCCTCAATACAAATAAAATACAAACCTTAGTTTATTTCTGGAAACTCACAGACTAGTGAGGATGTGTTGTGGGGATACCACACACAGAAGATGAAAAGACCAAGCAGGTCACAGTAATTCCTATTAGCTAAGTGTAGACCAGGAGCTACAGACTCATTCAAGGACAGAGCCCTGCATCTCCTTCTTTAATAGAAGACTTTTAAGAAGAACCTACAGACTGCCTTCCTAGCAACTGCAGTCCCAGGGCTGGACACATAGTAAGTCCGTGGTAAGTATTTGTTTGTATGTACGTATAAATCAATCAGTCTATTTGAGACATACACTGCAAATCTCTTCTAACTATTCAACTGCTATTGGAAAGGATATCACAAATACCCATCTTCATTGCTCGTTCAGCAAAACAGAAAGTTATTAAAAATTAAAATTTCCCAAGTTATTCTCACACTTTAGAAGACCCCAATTTATTTTAAGCCCAGATCATCCAAAGGCGGCCAGGCCACACATTAATTCTAACAGGAAGTCACCTACCTTAAAACAAAATAGCTACAACAATGATCAGTGTAGAATTCTGTTGTGCTGGTGGTAGAGTGTGGGTGAGTGTACCCGTGTGGAGCGTATGTAAATGCTAAATATTAACTTATGTATTTTTATGACATTCATCATTAGACTACTTAAAAAACAAAACAGTATACTGTAAGTACTATACTAACTAAATACTGTACTAAACTATAATTTTCAAATATTTGAAAACTGTCCAATCTAGCCTTCTTTCAGGGGTATAAGAAATAAAAGTAAAGTCAGATTTTCATACCTTGCCTAGTATTTCGAACAAGCAGATATTTGCCAAGTTCTGTAATATAATGCGGATCTATAATGAGAGCTTAACAACATGGATCACAACTGAGTAAAATGGAAAACTGAACGGCTATTTAACTTTTTAAAAAACAGACATTTTAGTGATACTTTGAAATCAATTCAAGTTGATCAAATCATAAATTCTTAATAAAAAGCTCATGGCAAATTAACAATATTTTATAAGAGATAATTAGAGTAAATGAGGGTAATTACAAAGAGAGTGATCAAAAACTAGGGACCCTGGAGCCAGACTATCTGGACTCGAATTCCAGCTCTACCATTTAACTAGCTGTGTGATCTCGGGCAAGTTACTTATCCTCTTTGGCCCTCAATTTTATCACTTTTAAAAAGTGAGTATAATAATAACACCTACTGTGAGGGTAACGTTAGAAAATACATGTAAAATCGCTTAGAACGTACCTGGCACACAGTATGCTAAATAAATGAATGTTAGCTTTTTGTTTTTAAAAGGAAAGAGGAAAAAAATGAAGGAAGCAGTCTCTACTCAATTTTCATCAATTTTTCTAGAGTAGAGAGTAGCCTTTTTGGAGACAGAAAAAGAATTGTTAAAGTATAAACAAAACCACTTATGTTTCACATAATTACTCATGTTAATAATTAATGAAACTTGATTAAAACTCTGGTATAGCACACAGAAGAAATTTTAAAATTTTAGTCATATATGCCTGATAACAGGAAATTACTCATAAGAACACAAGGCCCATTCCAAAAGTGAACGAGTGAATGAAGTCATTAATCCCCACGACATTCCTGCCTTTTGGTGAACCAAGGAGAGCTTTAAATGAGCTGGAAGAAATGCTCTGAGTGACATACTGAGCTTGTGGCTGTTCAGTTTACTGGAGAGGCCAGCTGCTGCTTGCACGATGCCTGCCAGTCAAATTTCTAGTGAGGGGCTCAGGAGAGAAAGTTTTCCCCTAAACATATCCCAGTATTCATGCTTCCTTTACAAACCTTTACTTCAGATCACACTTTCCCCCGAAAAAGTTTCTGCGATTTATGCGATAAACTGAGCTTCCTCTGGCTCCTCCATCCTCTGAAGAAGGGTCATTTCCTCCTCTCCCTTGATCCACTGTCAGCCTGTCCTCTTACAATATTCCTGTTCCTGACCTTTTCATGCTATAACCCCAATAAATATTCAGTGCCTGCCTCTCCCAGGGCTATACAAAGACACAGCTGAAAAGCAAAGATTGTGTTAGGATGTTGCTGTGCTGTGTTACTAATTTCATAAAGGCTAATACAAAGTTCTGTTCCAGCACGCCCTTGCCCTAGGAACCCAAAGGAATGGTTCTAAAAGTCACATTCTTCTTTACGTTACAAACATTTATTTCCACTTTCCAGGAATCGTGTCTGAGGAAATTCTGAAAGCTTTACATCTTTAAAGAAATACTTCAATTATATTTTATTAAAGATATACTTTTTAACATATTAAAAGCTGTTACTGCCTGCATAGCTTCACAAGAATGATGATTATCTTCCGAGCACTTTGGGAAAATTATTGGAGTTCAGGACATCCTTCATTCCTTCCACAAA